TTAGTTCTATTTCTCTGGAGAATTCTAATACAGGAATGAAGTACTAATTACAACATGAGTGAGCCTTGAATACATACTAAGAAGAAGAAGAAGCCAAAGGCCAAAGGCCACACATTGTATGATTTCCTTTATATGAAATGTCCAGAGTAGGCAAATCCATAGAGACATAAAGTACATGAGTGGTTTCCAGAGTTTAGGGAAGGGGAGAATAGGGAATGACTGCTGATCAGTATGAGATTTTTTTTAAAGGGGGGAGGGGATAATGGAAATGTTCTAGAGTGATGCAGACCTATGGCTGAGACCAAACAGGAACATATTCAATAAACACAGGGCTTGAGTCCTACTGGCTGTTTCCTACTTCTGCTCTCTGCTACAGAACGTATGGGCTCCTCTCCCCACACCACCATTTCTGGCTCACAGGGTTGTCTCGGCCCAGACGTCCTCCTGCTACTGAAAATACACTTAGCCTGGAAGAGCCCCACCCTAGAGCCAAACCCACCCTGGCATTCACACTGCCATTCATCGGGAGTTCCCCTACTTCTAAAGCTGTTCTTCATTCACTCTCATCCAGTGAGTGTCGAACACTGTTCCTGGGTGTCACAGATTGGGAATTCCTCACTCCATCACTCCCACCTTGGCTGTTAGACTTTGGTCCGCCATGCTCCATTTTTGCCAGCCAATCTTACGCAGGTTCCCGAGATGTAATTCTGAAGGTTCCGCCAGCCCCCCATTACAACTTCCACTCTTAGCAGTGATAAAATTAGTAATGGCAACTAATATTTATATCATGCTTTACAGTATATAGTATATTTATTTGCTCTGTTATTATATTTTAGCTTCATAATATCTGGAAACATGCAGATGGCTGGCAGAAATCTGCAAGTCAATGTCACAGAGTTCTAACAGCCCTGCATAGGGCCCAGCCAGCTTCATTCAGAGATAGAATTTCAGTTCCTTGGAAAGAAACTGGCAAAAGTAAGGTAGACTCTTAGATTCAAGGGAAGCAAGTCTCTGAGATTATGAAGGGCGGGTGTAGTGGAAGAAACAGTGCAGGAGGAACCCAGTTACAGGGAACGGCATCTCAGTCATGGGAGTCATGCAGATTGTACAAGTGGGTTAGCAGTAAAATAAACAACAAGGTTGAGTAGATTCTGAATTTCTAAGTTAAGTTTAATTTCTCCTGAGAACAGAAATAACCCCATCATATGAGCAAAGGCAAATTTGTTGGTAGGGATCAAAGGGTGGAGGGCATTGAGAGGAGGAAGGCAGGCAGCTCGCACTGCATCTTCCATCATTACCATATCTTGTTTCTGATACACACTGGTGGTCTTAGTAGGAAAACCTCCTCCCAGTCCTTCTTCTGAGAAGCCAGTATGCATTAGGCTTCTTCAGTGTCACTCCCACTTAGTTATCTTTATGAGTCACCCAGATTATTCAATATCATCCTCTTCCCTTCTGTTTTGTAGAGTCCCACACAAATCAGTGTATGAAAATCCACAGTGCTATTTACCTTGCCTTTCCATCAGAGATTTCTTTGAAGGAGTTGGACTATTCTATTGGCATAGTCTTATAACGAGACTTTGTGACCCCTAGAAGACTGAATATACTTCTCTCTCTTGAAAGTCCAAGTTCACTTTATTTATCATTCCTATTCTACATTAGTGTCTAATTATTAAACATCTTTCTATCAACACCAGGAAACCAGTGAGTAGAATAGAGTCTTCCTATGCCCAAGAGTAAAGGTGTAGCAAAAAGTGTAGGTAAGTTCTGCCGGCAGTGCTTCTGAAGTAATCCAAGGCCACTACAGTCAACTGATAGCTGGAATGCCACATTGGCAATACTGATATATGACATCCCACTGAGCCTAAGTGGAGGAATTTTAAGGGGTTTAAGGGGCTTTACCAAAGATTAAATGTTCACTTCAGATATGTACTGCTAGACTGGAGAAATACTTGTTCTACAAATCTGTGGCCTGCAAAGCAGAATATATACTCAGAAAAATTGAGAGACTGCTGCCATGGAAAACTAAGGTAGCCAGATTTCCAGCAGTGCTTGCCTAGGATTTAAATGAACACCATCTTCTTCCTCTGTCACTTCTTTGTTATCTTCGGAGTAGAGTTTTCCACATATCTATTGGGTATATTTCTATTCCCCATCAAATCAATGCTTACACTGCTTTCTTCTTGGAAAAAGGAGACCAGGTAGTTCACACTAACTCGCTGAGTACAATTTAAGAGGAGAACAAGAAAAAAAAAAATCTCCTTAAAAAGTCAAAGAGCTGAGAAGATGCCAAAAAACTACTGGGCCAACATCTGGGAGAGGCCAGAAACTTGAAAGTGTACAAAGTCTGGGGTCCTTTGTTCTATGGATGCATTTGCTGATCTAGGAGGGGCAGTTGAGGGTGTCGGGTGCATTTTGTTAGCCCTTCAGAGATGGGGCACCAGAGTCACAACCTGGTTTCTACCTCTGGTGGAATCTCTGACAAGTCACTCCTACTTTGGACTGGGTCCCTGAAAGGCTGCATCTTCAGAGGAAGAAAAATAGGAATAAGAGCTCTCACTTACCTACTGTGCAACTTTAATTCATGTCATCAGAGTGTATTCAAAATATCTCAAGGCTTAAATTTGAATTAAGGTATTACTGAGCTATGAAATTAAAATGCCACCTGGAATCTGAAAGAAGGAAATAAAAATCCTCTCTGGAAGAAGATAACATCATCCTAAACCTCATATTACTTCAACAAAGATAATTACAAAATGTCCAAATATTTGGAAATTTAGAAATGTACTTCTAAACAATCAATGTTTCAGAGAAATAAAGTCACAATGAAAATTAGAAAGTGTTTTAAATTAAATGACAACCAACCTATGACATATCAAAATTTGGGGGATGTAGCTAAAACGATACTTAGAGGAAAATTCACAGCCATAAATACATGTATTAGAAAAGGAGGAAGATTAAAAATTAATGAGCTGATGCACATCTCAGGAAGATGGAAAATAAATAGCAAAATAAACCAAAATGAAGTAGGAAAAAAAAAGCAAATATTAAAGAGAAGAGAAAAATTTGATGAAATAGAAAACAAATCTATGATTCGTTTTTGAAGGTCCATGTACACTTGGGCTGTAGTGATGAAGTTTCTTTTCTTTTTTTGTTCCAGGACCTTCACCCATTATTAACTGTCTTACCACTGGTTTCCATTTCTTCCGTTTTTTTTCTGGCTTCTTTGGAAGTGTTTAGGGGCTTTTTATTCTCTCTAATAAGGCAAAGCCCATGTGGCCCTATATCAAGGAAGTCAGAGGCAGATGTGTGTCCCCAGCCTGAAGACGAACAAGCCTCACATCCTACAGGTTGGGAACAGCCAGTGCATGGTTCTGGCATGATGACTTTCAGATAAGCTGTGTTGTCTTTTAGAAATAAGAAACCACTCCCACCACCATCATCCCAAACTGTGAGAGCAAATGGTAGTTTGTAACTAACTGTATTTCCTCTGGTTTAAAATTTGTTGGCATTCATGCACTGTACTGCCCAATCTTTCAAAGACTCTTCTCTCCCTTCCTTCTTCCTGAGATGGTGTCTGTGTGAAGAAAAATCCTTGCAGTGTCAGGAAAAGTGATTCTGGTCCTCATGTTGACCCTGAATCTTTCCCGTGTCTGATATCTGACTGGTGAAATCTGTGAGGGTTTACTGTTCAAGGTCAAGGCCTGGCCATTGGCCTTTGCTAATTCAAGGCATGGCTGTAGCTGCCATTGGATCACAGCTTAGGTGATTTGCCCACCCGCTCCCACAATGAGCTCTCCAGCATGCATCTTTCACTATCTTCTGTATCCTTCTCGAGTGCAAATGGAACTGCAAGCCCCAGAGTGCAACCTCGGCCCTCTGCCTCAGCACCTCCTGCAGGCTCCACCAGCCAGGGTGAGAGCAGACACATGCTGACCAAAAATTCTACCCCAGTACACACACGCCCCCAAAGGTCAGGTGTGTGTGGAGGGGCAGGGATGAGTATTGAAGATACTTACCTTGATATGTCCTCCCCACACATGGCACCCCTTCAGATGCTTTTCCTTACTGCCCCCTTCCCTTGTGTTCAAATATGTTCCCTCCTCTGGGCCATGTCTGCCTCCCCCTTCTCTAGGGAAATAAGCTCCAACTCAGAAGAGCTTCAGGGGGGAAAGAGCTAATTAGTCAGAAGGCAAAATACAGTGGGAAATACCTTCTAAAGTATTGTCTCCACTGCGTGTAACCAAGGGCTGGCTTAATCCCAGACC